GGGCAGGGGCAGGGGCGTGTTCCGAGGTACCGAAGGCTGGCATGAAGACCGCGAGGATGTTTTGGGGGGTAAAGCTGGAGTAAGGAAAAGAGCTATTTATTTGGATACTGGGTTTGGTTTTAAGGGAGGTCAAGATTTTATTCTGGCTAGCTGTCCGAAGTGATTGGTAGCTGCTGGAAACCTGGCAGTGGCATCTCTTCTGGTCACAATTCCCTTAGCAGACTAGCGTTCTTGATGTAACGAGTGATGTATACTGACAAGAAAAACAAACGATCATTAGGATGCAGAAAGTGGGGTATAATCAGTCACACTGTGTAGTCTGTGATTAGAAATATGTTTAATTTGACTAGAGGGTCTCCAGAAGTCCTTTTGAATCTTACCTATTCTGTAGGGTACTCTTCAGTAATAATACTGAAACTGCAGAAAGAGTATTTATTCGAGGAGATGCAGGAAGACCAACAAAGTATGAATGGCAGCATGTTTCACTTTATTCTTTCTGCTCACCAGCTGCTGTGTTAGAACACAAATATTGAAGTTTTGTAAGCAATTGTTTTTCTCTTGGCAGGACAGATCTTTTCATTAACAGTTTGATATTTCAGACTAAGCATTTCTTAATACAAATACTGCAGAAAAATGTGATGTATAAGTTAAATGGGGCAAAACTTGATTAATAGAAAGAGGGAGACTATATCATAAAATTGCCAGGTATTTAGATACAAAAGCTTAAATGGTTGAGAGAGTAACAGCTGTTTAGAATTTGCTGCATTTCACTGGGCAATTTCAGTGGCAACGCAAAATTCATTCCTGTGTATTTATCTTAGACTGTATATCAGTTAGGGGGGTGATTCTCACAAAAACCAGGAACTGCATTAATCAAGAAACTGCATTTCTTTTTCAGACACAGAAGGTGGCGAACAGCTATATGAGTGTCCAATGTGCAGTCTTACCTGTACAAACATTCAGATTCTTGAAGAACATGTGGATTTGCATTTAGAGGAACATAGCTTTTCGGAAGGTACGTAAAAGGATACAGACTTGATAATACTTAAAAGCATTTACAAGTATTAAAAGAGAACTGGACATATACACAATGAAGTTAACATAGTTAATAGCAAGTCCTGTTACTTGCCCAAGTGCTCTACCTAATTACACATGCTAAAAGAAATATTTGTCAATGCATCTTTGTTAAGTAAATGCAGTGTATGTTAGCCAAAGCTAAAACTTAGAGGGAAGACAGTCTTTCCCCCCCAGCTCTATAGAAGGCTTACATACATGGAGTGGCACATTCCAGTGTGATGAGCTGAAAATCTATAGCTTATGAAAACTTCAATTTTTTTGCTCAATTCTTTTCTCTAAATGCTCATGCTGATACATTAGTCATAGAGATAAAGGAGTCAAAATTAATTTTATTTGTTACCATGGCTAATAAAAGCCTAGAGATTCCCTGTCCAGTTCTCTGATGCTATGTTTGTTTTTGTCACTTTGTTACGAGACTGCTGGCAGTGATCCTAGAAGCGCGTAAGTGTGTGGTATTCAAGAAACTGGGACTTGTTGCTAACAATGAAGTGAAGCATAGTAAACAAAAACTGTTTTGTTAGTAATAGAGGTATATGCATTATTTACAAAGTAATTGCTCGTGTAACTGCATAAACTTTGTCCAGGTCAAGAGTCTGAGTCTTGGTAGACTGGATGCAGTCACCCCTGTTTAGTGTTTGTTGCTAATAGCCCAAAATAATGTGGGATGCGTCTCCTAAAATTAATGCCTAGTTGTGTTTATGTACGTCTGCTTCGAAAAGAATCTTTAAAAATTAAATAAATGATCCATCAAAGCATTGTTAACCTCCTGATCAAGTCCTCTCTCTTTGGAATGTTATTCCTGGGTAGGCGGAAACGTAAGAGATCTAGAACTGGCTCAATGGCTCCAAATCGAAGAAGATAAATGGCAGAGAGAAGAAGAAGAGAAGCAAGAGAGGGAAGAATTTAAAAAGCTGCAGGTACAGTAATATTTCTAAACAGTAAATTTTTGAACAGTCGTGCCATTAGAAGCTGAGTATCTCAGAACTGTCGTGACCTGGAACGGCCATGCCAGATGAGAGCGGTGCCGTCAGACAGGCTGTGCTGAGGTGGTGGTGCAGGAGTGGGGTTCCAAGCAAACGCAAGCTCTCAGCAGCCCTGATCCTGGCACGGGTGCTGGGCACGCCTGCCTTGAGCTTCTTGGCTTTGCCACTTTGAGCGGTTCTGGCTCAGGATGGAGCTGGGTGCTCCCTGTGCCCACACTGCTCTCAGAGGGGGCCCTGGCATGCCTGCTGCCTCGCACTGTGCTCCTCCCAGCTTCGGTGCTCTGCCTTGCAGCTCAGCCTGCAGCCTATTTGCTGGCAGAGTGCCCAAGGCCCTGGGCATCCTGGCTGTCCTCTTCCTGGATACCATCACCTGGCTCCAGTGACTGCTCCCCTGCTAGGTCCTGCTTCCCTCTCCCTCCCACCTGACAGCCCTGATAGCTCTTTTCCAGCGCTCGCTGCCTCCTGGCCATTGACTGCCTCTGTGCCTACGGCTGGCTGCCCACGAGGGAGCAGAGGGATGTGTGTGGAGTTTGTCCTTCAGCTCTAAAATATCATAAATGTGAAGTTTTTGTGTCTTGCAGTTCACTATTTTTCGAAGTTACTGATAGTGCATGCACCTTCTCGAAGTCGCTAAACGTGAATTTTGAAAAAATGTGATTTAAATCATGCGCATTCCATCCCTAACAGAGACAGTATGGCTTGGATAATTCTGGAGGCTACAGGCAGCAATTCCTAAAGAATATGGAAAGGGAAGTTGATAGAGGAAGGATGCAGCCTTTTGAATATCACAAGAGAAAAGCTGACTTGATGGAATGTTTAGCTTTTGGTATAGATGATGGGAAAACAAAGACCTCAGGTAAAAATGCTGAAATTATACAACTAAGACTGTACTTTCTAGACCTAGGTTGTAGTGACCAAACCTGTTTTTAACAAGGCATATAATTGGGTGTCTAATATTAGTTGCATCCTAATTGTAATCCTTACTTTCTAGATCAATCTGTACCATTTTAGTCCTAAAATAATAAGGAAATTAGAGCTTGGTATGTTTCTAACCTTTATTCTAACCCGAAGACTTTTTTTTTTCCTGCTTTTTTTCCCCCCCCTTTTTTTCTATGGAACCTTGGAACCAAGTTGTCTGATTAAGGGCCCAAGTACAATATGTGTCAAAAGATGCAAATGTCTTGTTACAAGTTGGTTGTCCTTGAGTGTATGCTTGTTTACTACTTAGTACTCATTGGTTCCTAACCTAGTGTAGCTGTTAAAATTTACAGTAGCTTTTTATCTTGTCTTTCAGTTAGTTGTATTATCATGTAAGCTGGTCCCAGGTAAGCACAGTGTTCACCTGATTACAAAGTCCAAGAGAGGACTGGGAGGGGTAGGCATCGACCTGATATATCTTCTTGGAAGTGTTTTATAATTGGTGCAGAAACCTATTGAAATGTATTGGCACTGTATTTCTGCACCAGTTGTCAATCAACTAAAAAAAACTTTAAATAACTAACAGTTCAAAGGTCTAAATTTTAGCTTATTTCTAGTGGCTCTAGCTTACAAAATATCCATTTGGTTCTTGACAGGTAAAATAAACTTTCTCTATAAAATGTATCGAGTGGAAATAATACGTTTAAAGTTTTCATTCTTGGTAATGATTTAGACTTCAGAGAAGAATTGAGAAAATGGTCTGTGATGGCTGTGGAATGATTGTCTTCACAATAGCATGGCAATAGAGAGCCTTTGAGAATTTACATATACTAATTGGAAAGAGCATTCCCAAGCATAATCTTTTGTGTAACAAAGGAGGATTTGGAATATCCTGCAAGTGTATTTTTTTAAAAAATATTTACAGTAATTCTCAAATTCTCTGCCATTTGTTTTCTTGTCTTAGGTTCTCCAGGAAAAATAATTTGGGGTGAATAAAAAGGAAAATAAAAAAATAAAAAATAAAATAAAAAATAAAAAGATAGTATGCAGAAGTATTCCCGTATTTCTAAGGGGCTGTTGTACTGGAGGTGGCCGTGGCATAGGAATGCTTTATTGGTGACATTACAATGAAATAGGAAAAGTAATGGTTCCTATGCATATCACAGTTTATAATGTAGTCCAAGCTGTTTAGTTTAAAATATTCGTTGTGTAGCAGCAGTGAAAAAGCAGCTTGAATTTTGAAAGTTTTATAGTACATAAATTCATCAAAGACCATCGAAATGAAATAGGTGCAACGACCACTGCTTTTGTGATTTGGGTTCTAGATGTAACGTAGGATCCCTTAGAAGTTTTAAAAGAAATTGTCTTAATCTGTGTCCATTCCAAGTTGGGGAAAGAATATTTTTCTGGAAAATCTGGTAGGTCATTTTATAGATAAACTTTATATTTGGTCATCTTTTAGAAGTCATCGAAGCATTGTGCAAGTACTACCAGAACGAGAACAAAGATGTGAGGCATGTATGGCTTTCAAGAGGAGTAGATCACTTCCACTCATCTCTGGGCGACAGAGGCTGGGGTTGTGGTTACAGGAATTTCCAAATGCTCGTTTCCTCACTGTTGCAAAACAGCTTGTATAATGACTGCTTGAGAGGTATTAAACAAAATGCTGCCTATTTGTTCCACGTGTGTTGGAGGACAACCTGCTGATTGATGTTTTGCCTTTTCATTTACACAGCAAGGCTTACATGGTCAATGATACCTATTAAATGCTTGTTATACCACTGGAACTTCCTGTGGAAATAATCAGAGGTGAATACTGCCAAGGCATGATGTGGTTGAAGTTTTAGCTTTATTTTTTTTTGGTGCGTCTTTGTAATATCAGCTGCCTCTTAGAGAAGAAGAATATTTTTGATAGACTGTTTCAGTAACTGTAACCACAATTCAAAAGCTTTTCTGTTCCAGGTACTACACTAATTCCTAGTATACCAAAGATTCAGTCCATGATTGAAGATGCCTGGAGAGAAGGCTTTGATCCTCATGGGGCATCTCACTTCAATAACAGATTACATGGTTCCAAAGCATGGATAGGAGCATGTGAAATTTATTCACTGTTAACCAGTCTCAGGATAAAGTAAATATTGCGCTTTTTTTGTTATTGTTATTTTTGAGTGCTGTACCTTTAAAGGTTGGAGTTGTCAACTGTGTGATGACAAAGCCACCTTAGTGGCTTTAAATTTAACCAACCTATAAACAGATCTGATTTAGCGCAGCATAAAGCTGTGTAACTACTTATGCAGGTACATAAACTGAGTAACTACTGAGATCATTGAGACTTGGTGAAGAATTATGCCACATATGCATAAAATAAAACATTGATTAAAAACTTGATTTCTCTAGAAGTTTCTTAAGAAGAATCTGAATTTCAGCTATTCCTGTGCATAATTCTGAAAGCTGTTAATTGGATTCTCTAGTGTACATGTATCACATACAAAAAATCAAACAAGTTAATTTTTGAAAGCTTCACAAGTTCTGGTTAGACTAGAGTGTTTCTTTGTTATGGAACAAATATGCTAGTTTTGAACAGTATATATTACATTGCTTTGTAATTATGTGTCCCCTATTCCTGTATTGAAGAAAGGAAAAAAAAAAAAAGTGGTAACTACCACTTCACACCTGGAATTGCTGCATTTACAGAACATTTATGGTGCAGGAGGAAGGGACTGAGAGATGAAAAAATTGTTTTAACAACCAAAGTGCTTGAAATGTTACTGTTGCTTTCATTTTAAATGTTCTGTAGGTGTCAAATCATTGACTTTCACAAACCGACTGGCCCTGTGGGTACACACCCTCGTTTATTCGAGTGGGTTTTGCGTTACTATTCTACAGATAATGAAGGTGGTGCAAAGGTAGTCTGTACTTCCAAACCACCTATCTACTTGCAACATCAAGGTCAGTATCGCAACGTGCTGGTTTCTTACTGTTCTCCGTCTTGCTTTCTATGTACTGCAATTCAGAGAGCTTTTTAGCATGGCTTTATTTCCTGTCACTTTTTGTTTAGTAAGAGCATCATTAAAGTTTGTATTTTTATTGTATGGAAGAGCTGGATGTGATTGGGATCTCAACTTTTTGACATCTACTGTTTGCTTATAACTACTATATAAATTTCAAGTAATGTCTTTCTTTATCTGAAAATAAGTACTATGCTGTGAGGAAGTAAAAGGGATTTATGTGTTTTTAAAATACTGAAACTCTATTTTGAAATTAGGTCATAGTCGTACTGTTGTTGGAATAGAAGAGAAGAAGAATAAAACCTTATGTTTGCTACTGTTTGATCCGGGATGTTCTTCCCAAGAAATGCAGAAACTGCTAAAACAAACCAGTGATGGTACTAGTCTCAAACTACTTCGGAAATTTGTGGGCAGCTTAAAAGAAAAGCAATACCAGATAGTGGCTGTAGATGGTGTACTCTCATTGGAAGAGAAAGCTGTAAGTGTTTCAGAAAAAAGTTTCTGTCTCAGAAAATTTAAGAGAATCTTCATCTGTTTGTTTTCCTTGTTCTTCTACTTTGCTACTTTCTGCTTGTTCTCTGCGAATTGAGTAATCGGATATCAAAACCAAAAAGGTTTTGCACATAAATGCATGCCACCTTGATGTAACTGACAACTTCCAAGTGTTTGATGTAGCTTGCAGCTGTCAGCAGATGTAAATTAGTCTTTTTTCTTCTTTTCATTTTCTTACAATATTTTCTCCTAAATAACTTATTTTGGGCATAGAAGGTATTTACAAAGCACTTATAGTCCAAAATTATGTTCAGGGGTTTTTATTGCAGCTTTGTAAAGCTATGTGGTATCTATCAGCCTTTGAGAGCTGAAGAACAAGGTGCCCAGATACTGAAGCCTAACCATCCCGTGTCTCTTCAGCTTGGACACTAGGACTAGTGCTTTCTGAAAGTCCTTAGAAATTCATATAGTCAAAACACAGCTCTGAGCAACGTAAAAGTTTGAGCTGTCAGCGTTTTTATAAATCCTATCCACATCTTTCACTTTGGCCATTATAACTTTTTAAGACCTGAGAAGTTTTCGGCTGGATATCAGATGTAATTTTTGTTTCTTAAGCTTTCTCTTTCGTGCGCTAACAAATTGATTCTGAGGAACCATGTGCTTCTGATTCTGTGGTGTCTTACTAGCACTGTTCAGTATGTTCAAGCTTCAGGACAGGCTGTTATTTAAACTGTGGAATAACTGGTGACTGAGTCAGCTGCTCAACTGTATTTAACAGCTGTATATTGAAATGAGGCGGTTTTGAAGTGTTTTCTGGCCCTGAACGTGTCAGAAATAGCAGTGAAACACAGGCAACCTCTCTGCCTTCTGCTGGCAAAAGCTTTACAATTCAGGACACAGTAAAAGGAAAGAGTATTGTATGGGATTTGTGTGGAGTGTTTTCTTTCATTTGGGGTGTTTTCCTCTTTTCAAAGATTTGGCTTATACTTTCAAATATCAATTATATAGAATTTTGTCTTGAAAGCTTCTATTTAAGGTGAAATACAACCCCTTATACTCATTAAGCTTACTGAACTACTAATCTGGAAAATGCTCTTTAAAGTTTTGTTCCTTAAATTATTGTCTTTCCCTTCTCCCTGCCTTTTTTTAGGCTCGCTGTCATGCTTCTCGGGTCTTAACATCAGAGAAGATTCCTTAAAGGATGCCTTTGCTACTTCTTTTGGAATCTGCTGGATACAAAATATTATTCTGGACTGTGACCGAGCTGAACAATTTCTAGACTTAAACTATGTCTCCATAAATGTTTTGGGGGCTCTGGAGAAGCACAATACTAGATTAAACCTGAAGTTTTGGTCTTCAGTCAAAACTTTGCCCTCCTGATGAATCTGTAACTGAAGTATTACAGTTCTTGTCTTACTAGAAAATTTGCTGTTTTCTTAGTTGCTTACACTACCAAGCAACACCAACCATCCCGTAGCAAACTATGTACCATCGTAAACTGTCAATAAGCAGTGAATAAATATACTATGGAACTACTTTATTGGAGTGCCTCTGTAAATATATGTATGCTGACTCTGTGGCCAGTGTTCTATTTCTTACCAAATTTCATCAACAAATAATCTGTTATGCCTCAGCAAATTCTCCTGCAGCTGTTTGCAAAGTACAGAGACAGTTCAGTGATTTCACGTGATACAGACTGTTCCACCAGGGATTAGTTTACTACTGACCTTCTTTTCAGTTAGCTGGCTTCCCTAGATGTATCACTTTTAAAAATGAACCTGTGTGCTCACGAGGTGGATCAGTGTTAGCGTTGGTGGTGAGATCTAAGGTAGTTGTGTCCAACATGGGCTGCCTGTGCTCCAGGCACTGCGCAAGACAATCCAGCGGGGTATAGGATGAAAATTTTTATTTTGAACTGTGAATAAATAAAATAAATATTTTTTAATAGTGTTTATTTCATCTCTGTTTCATCTGTTTTTTTTGTTTCCATTTTTCTGCATATGTTTTATAATGTATAACCCCTGGGTCTTGGAGGCATCTCAAAAGGACATTGGAACTGACCGTTGATGAGGGGCTGTATCATGCAGGGTTAGTGGGATTGAAGACACCGGAGCTGTCTGCTGAGACAAGTGCCCTGGGTGTTGGAGGCACCCTGCTGTCTCCAGCTGCGTGTGAGAGTCATGCCTCTCCAGCAGGATGGCTGGAGGCTGGGGGGGTGGTTGAGTGCGTCACAAATAGCGCTTGATGCCTTTGTTTAAGCAACTGAATCATGCCATGGCAGCCATTTACTGTAATGAGAGTTTAGATACTTCCCTTTCATTTAGACTCTTGCATGTTGACACCTAGGTGTAGGATTTTTACCATTAATCTGTTTCTCTCATGTTTAATATGCTCTGGCAATAAGAACTAGTGATTTGCCTTCCCTGCAACCAGGGCTGAGTCTGTTCCTGCCTAACGCTCTGCTAATCCCAGGCCGAGCATGTTCTTGACCCGTGTGACGCTGTGCCCAGAGATGCGAGCTGAAGAAGCAGGAATTGCAGCTCAGCCCCAGCTCTTCACTGATGTGTTCAAACTGCTGTTGCCACTAAGCTCATCTTTTGGACCTTGTTATTATAACATAATGTATGGTATGACATAGAAGTTCTTATCCTTTCCATTGACTGTATGGAGTCAGTCTCGGAACGACTGAGCTAAACTGTCGCTTGGCTTTCATTCAACCACGCACAACCTCTGGTAGTTTAGTAAAAACACAGGGGAAATAATTGTACAAGCTACCAGGATGGCCAATTAGCATAGTTTGGCATCTCGTTTTGTAAGCAGTGGTGGGAAGCTCTTGGTTTGACCGTTTAAAGGGCTGGTATGTGCACAAGAACGAATTTGACATTCTCGTCATTTCCCAGGACAACAACAAGGTAATAACAGTCACAATGCTTGTATCAAAGGTGAGCAGCAGTAAGCCCTCAAAGAACAGTGAATATTTTTTTTAAAGTAGTTTTCTGAGATGGTTTCTGGTAAAGCCCAACACTAGATGCAAAGGAACCTGCTTCCCCAAATTAAAGGACCCTGTGATTAAAATGTGGATGACTGTAGCTGCGTTCCCCCATGCCACTCCCAGAGAAGTGCATCCCTTTGGCAGAGTTAATCGCTCTGGACACCAGAGGCAGTAGAAAAACACTGTTAGTCCCAGCCAGGTTCATCCCAAAGCTTAAAGCAGAAACAGCCGTACGCTGCTACAGGCCTTCCCACCGGCTCGCTTAGGCCAGCGCAGTCCTGTGCAATAACATAGCCAGATGTGGAGACTTCTTCATCGCTTACCTGTGCTCGGTGTACGCTTACAAAATTTTCTTCTGCTGGTGATTGCAGCCGTGGGGGTTCTTTTGCTGATACGTAGGACCTGTAACTATATTGCTAGCTTGTTGAAATGACACTACTGCTGATAGGAGCGCTTTGATACGGAACTGGGACAAAGTGACCTGACACTAGGATGATTTCATTGTCTTGCCAAAAATAACTATTCTGATAAGGCCTAATATGTGTCTGTAGATGGCAAAAGGAGTCACTGTGTAGGTCGAATGACATGCTGCGGCAGCCCCCTCACAGAAGGAGGGAGGACCATTCATCAAGGTCCCATCTCTCCCACCACCGAAAACAGCACCTGCGAGGGGGATCAAGCTGCTCGCAGCCTGTTGTGATTTGCTCTGCTTGCGTACAGTACGTACAGCCAGCGAAGGCTCCTACTGCCCCTGCCTCTGCCCTCCAGAGCCATCTTGGTACTACAACGCAACGCTTGTTTTGAGAGCCCGGCCTCTGGCATCTGATGGCTTCTTCGCAGGAGATGGGAGGGCGGTGGGCAGGGACATTATCAGCAGCTGCCATCCCTAAGCACACAGGCTCCTCTCACAAGGCCACAACAAGGCGGAGCTGAGCTTTCCACGAAAAGTAAAGATCGTTTTATTTTCCCTCTTCCTCCATGAGGATTTTATAAATAGTGGTGTTCCAGATTTGTGTGTTCTCTTACCAACACATCAGTTTCTACTAGGAAGAAATCAGAGGAGTTATGGAAAAAAGAATTACATCCTCTGTTGAGTTTTGAATTCAACTTATTCCTAAAGAACTAGTGTAGTTTTCAATCTTTTACAAGGGTTCAACCTTTGGGTAAGCACTGGGAGGAACACAATGTGGCAGTAGCATCCTCTAGATACAATCCTTCATCTGCCTTAGATGTCTCAAGGGCTGTGCTGAGCTCTGCCTACATAATCATACCAGCTGGTCCACAGCAGTCCACAACATTTTTCAGGCTCCTTTAAATCCAATAGTATTTTCAAATGCTTCAAAACAGAAGATATATGTATTGGTGACCTGTTCCATGCTTTTTTAAATCCAATAGTATTTTCAAATGCTTTAGAACAGAAGGTATCATATGTATTGGTGACCTGTTCCATGTACTATGTACAGGAATATCTCTGCAGACAGAGGAATCAGGGACAAAACTCAGCGCTCTGTCACTCTTGCCCTGTCGTGGGCGATGCTTGTCAGATGATGGGTGAGGCCATGGCTGATCTGCAGTGCTATCATAGTTTATCGAAATATAATGCTTTCCAGCTGCACAGATGAATTCCAAGAGTTTATCACTTTTCTACCTTAAAACCTGCAGTTTGACTTAGATGATCTGAAACTGTGAAGAGGTGTGTTTATGAGGTACTATTGCACCTAAATAAATAATACAATCATAAAATAGTCTGCAGGGGCCTTTATTTTCTTTCAAGAGACTATGTGGGCTCAGAATATTTTGAGTTTTGTATTTTCTGAAGAGGAGGCATGGAAATAAGGGCTAAGGGTCTATGGCAGGGGGTTGTTTTAAATAACGTGGACCATCACCTGATTTGTTTGCTATGTGCTTGCTTTACCATTTAGCTTCAGGAAAGGAAAGAGCAGAGAGGTAGGAGAGAATGTTATTTCTGCAACTTGTTTAGAGGTGATGCATTATCAGCCCTTGTCCTTAACACATTGTTTTGGTTTGGCCTGGATAAATGCCAGTGCCCACTAAAACTGCTCTATCACTCCCCCTCCTCAACTGGACAGTGAAGAGGAAATACGATGAAAGGCTCGAGGGTCGAGATAAGGGCGGGGAGAGATCACTCACCAGTTACCGTCACGGACAAAACAGACTGAACTTGGAGAGAAAAGGGAGTTTAATTCATCACCAATCAAATCAGAGTAGGATAGTGAGAAATAAATCCAGGTCTTAAAACACCTTCGCCTCAGCCCTCCCTTCTTCCCAGGCTCAACTTCACTCCCGTTTCTCTCCCTCCTCCCCCAAGCAGTGCAGGGGGACGGGGAATGGGGGTTATGGTCAGTTCATCACACGTTGTCTCTGCCGCTCCTTCCTCCTCAGGGGCAGGACTCCTCACACTCTTCCCCTGCTCCAGCGTGAAGATTCCTCTCATGGGAGACAGTTCTCCACAAACTTCTCCAACATGAGTCCTTCCCACGGGTTGCAGCTCTTCACGAACTGCCCCAGCATGGGTCCTTCCCACGGGGTGCAGTCCTTCAGGAAAAGGCTGCTCCAGCGTGGGTCCCCACGGAGTCACAAGCCCTGCCAGCAAACCTGCTCCAGCGTGGGCTCCTCTCTCCACTGGTCCGCAGGTCCTGGCAGGAGCCTGCTCCAGTGCAGTCTCCCCACGGGGTCACAGCTTCCTTCAGGTATCCACCTACTCCAGCGTGGGGTCCCTTCCATGGGGTACAGGTGGATATCTGCTCCATCGTGGACCTCCATGGACTGCAGGGGTCAACCTGCCTCACCATGGTCTTCATCACAAGTTGCAAGGGAAGGCTCTCTGCTCTGACATCTCGAGCACCTCCTCCCCCCTCCTTCTTCACTGACCTTGGTGTCTGCAGTGTTGTTTCTCTCACGTCATCTCACTCCTGTCTCTATTGCTGTCTCACTGCAGGTTTTTTTTCTTCCCTTTCTTAAATATGTTGTCACAGAGGTGCTACCACCGTCGCTGATGGGCTTGGCCTTGGCCAGCGGCGGGTCCATCTTAGAGCTGGCTGGCCAAGGCTTCATCAGACATGGGGGAAGCTTCTTGCAGCTTCTCACACCTCTCAGAAGCCACCCCTATAGACCCCTCACTACCAAAACCTTGCCATGCAAACCCATAACACACATGTTCCCAGCATAAACTTTCTTTTTTTCCA